GACCGTCTGGGGCTTGCAGGCTGGAGCCCGTCTCGTCCCCACCTCCCCGTGCCGCTTTCTCAATACACTTTGTCTCCCGATGCACGCGCGGTGTGCGCGCGCGAGCATGTACACACACACACTTGCGCAGGTAAGCAGAAGACGATGTTAAACGTAGACAACGCCTGTATAGACGCACGCGCGCACGCGCACACCGGTATTGTCATAAACTGCAGGCAGGTTGGGTAGACAAGTGGAGGCTCTGCATACTTTTACAGCCTCGTTAAAAGAGTCAAAAGATTTACTGAGACACATGCAACCATGAAGTCAAGTCCTGTTGAGGAAGATTTTATGTCATCCTCAAAAGGTGGCTCAACACATGAACACAAAACATGATAGTTCGCGCCAATGAAGGAAATTGTACTCCACCTCTTCTGTTCTTGGGGCCCACTTGATGTGATATGACGGACATCAGGCTTGTCCCGAGTTCTATCGGCGAGACGGCAAGGGAATTTCCCCAAAATGTGCAATGGGAAGGACCCCTCGACGTCAGGACAAAGCCAAGTTGGCACACAAGCAACAAATACTTGTCTTGAATCCTCGCTTTGTTATGTGCCTATAGGCATAGGGTATTGGGAATTTCCCATGATGCCTCATGATGGCCCGCGCCATTGCCATCCCTTGACACTCTTCAAACCGCTGGGTCAAAAGTAATACAGATTGAATTGGTGAACCCATCGCTGGGAAAAATAAATACTGAGAAAAAGGTGGGTTATTTTATACCAAGTGCATTGAATTGAGGATTTTACCCAGCGCGTCGGGGCAAGAATTTGATCCAACAATAGGTAAAAACTACCAGTACCGATGAGCCGCCGCCAACATTTTCTACGACAATACTGTCAACAAAAATGGCGACCAGCTTCAGACCGCCCCAAATCCAATCTTCAATCCAATCAGCTGGGACAAAATAATTAACCCAACCAGCTGGGACAAAATAATTACCCCAACCTTGGGTAAAATGAACCCAATCTGCAGAAAATCATCCCCTTCCCAGCCGACACTGGTCCAAAATAAAGGGAATTCTTTACAGCATTTATGAAAGCATATCTTCTGTCTGGATAATAATGAACAAAAAACATTCATGTGCACGGAATCATGCTAGTTTCAAGGTATGTTTTCGAAAAATATTTGACATAAAACATTGTCATCCAAATTGCAAGACTTTCTAATGTTTAATGGTATGTACTGAGGTAAGTAATAAAGTCACCCAGAGCGCATTGGACCCCCCCGCCCCCATCACCACCTCCC